CCTCTCATTTCCTCCTAATGTATAAAACTATAGCACCAGAACTCTCATAAGCCCCCTCAAGAAGCATGCTCATATCAACACTAGCAGCAATGTACTACGATAATCATATCCACCTCACAAGTGCATCCTCAACCATGAAATCTCAAATGTATTGTCATATCGTATGAACAAGAAACCATCAAATTCTACATATAAGGCGAGAACTTTATTCGTTTAGCACTGTATTTAAGGCTCATTTGTTCCTCACATCCTACATTCCTACATCTTGATCGATTTATCCACCGAAATACAATTATCATACTTGATTTTCACAATTTAGAGCTTGTTTGCAATTATCAGAAGTGGGTGCTGTCACTAATGGAAACCTGTCATTTTAACACAAAACTCAACTTTCTATTTCTATGAATTGCTTATCAGAAGTTGTCATTCGCCTTACTAAACTTTTCATTTGCCTTATTAAACTTGTCATGAATTGTGTATCAAAACTTGTCATCTGCTAAAGAATCTGAAGATGCTGTCATTTTAACATAGAAACTCGAATTTCAATGAATTGCTTATCAGAAGTTGTTATTTGCCTTGTTAAACTATTATTCGCATTACTGAACTTGTCATGAAGTGGATATCAGAATTTGTCAACTTGTTATTTTCAACAACTCAATCAAACTTGTTATTTCAATTATGAACACAAGCTGAAAATTAAAATAGAAAGAAGAATAAAAATACAGATTTATTGAGCGTTGTCTCAGCACCAAGTAATCATCGCACACATTGCACATTGCAAATGACTGTCACTCTCCCTCAAACTCCCCGACTCTCCTCTCCTTCCACAGCAACAGAGAGAATGATGAAAGAGGTTTTCATTGTCAATGAAAGAGCAGCTAAGCAAGATAAGAAGAAAGTGACGGGGGATGACAATGAAGAGAGGACTACCGAAAGACATTGTGAGTTCCATATACTTTGGGAATGAGTGAGGAGAGGGAAGGAAATTTGGAGAGGAAAGAGAGAACGAAGAGAGAGAGGAAAAGGAGGAGGAAAGGTTGGGAAGAAGATCTAGAGAGAGAAGAAAGAGAAAAAAAACAGAAAGACATTTTGGATATTCATCATCATTTCATATTTACCAATTTGAGACCGGGTCCTTTGGAGCTATTTTTCAAATTCAAGGTCCCTAATAGCTATTTTATATATTGGAGGGTCTTTATTTATAATTTTCTCATTAACTTAACTAATTTTTTTAATTATATAAAAGTTAACAAAGTTTCATATGCAAGATGAGGAGCATTGCCTGAGGTGACAAGACATTACAGCTGAGTTTTACATATTATTTGTGATGAAGAGATGATGTATGAGCACCAGGACAACTTCCAAGGCAAAGACTTGAAAAATATATGAATTAATTAATAAAGAGTGCCCGATAGTAGTGTCTCGAATAAAATTGCTTTTAATAAAAATACCTATGCTCTAGCAACAAAAAAGAGATACCACTGCCTTGAGGAAGCCGTCTTAATAATTGAGACTAAATTAGCTGCTGGTAGTGAACTGGATAACTAAATTAAATAATGCTGCGTTGTCGAAGAGGGGACACAAACTGTATTTTATGATCCAGTTGCTTTGCATGCCGCCGTACAGTATGATTGTATGCAGCTCGCGCATTCTCGCATACTTCCTAATATTTAAATCATCGTACAAATATAACTTCAACTGCCCCCCCACTCCAAACCAATAAATTCAAATAATAGTTTAATCACAGACAAGCGTTCGTGTTAACATTGAAATTTCCCCAGAAACTGCTTTGAACCTTTGTCCACGTTATCCAAGGGATTTAATTTGATGATTTAGAGTTAATAATAATTTGTAAAGTTATGAACGGTTGCATAATTCCAATACATGGAAACACAATAAAGAAAAAGTTAATCACAAAGATATCAAGTGCCAAAAAAAAAAACTATTCTCGATGCCCCGCCTTCTTAATTAGTAGTCGCCGTGAGAAGTAGGGTTACTTTATATCATTGATTTCGACATGTAAATGACTTCAGGTATTTGGAACCGTGACCCAGACTGGATCATTTGAATTTCATTTTTGAGATTTACCATGCTGTTCATTAAAACCAAAGAGATATAAAGAATCTAAATTTGAAGTTGATACTTGATAATAAGTTTCACTGAAGATGCAAACTTATAACATGCATTTGAATATAATTTAAAGGAATTATATGTTCCTGCTGCTTCTCTTTTCAAAAAATAAATAAAATTCAGAAGCGAAGTAATCAAGGGCTTGTTTGGTTTCTTGTTTTGAAACAATTTTTTGTTTTTAAAAAAACAAAAAAATAAAGAATTGTTGGGAAATTTGTTTTTAGGTGATTGTTTTAAAAAAAAAAAAAAACAGTAACATGTTTTTAAAAACCAAACAACTTTTACATGTTTTCTTGTTTGTTTTTTTTGTGTTTTTTATTGTTTGTTTTGAAAATTTTTAAAAAACTTCTTCTCTTCTATTCTACTATCCACCATTTATCGGTTTTCTACGGTTTTTTTTTCAAACATGATTTTTTTAAAATTATTATCCAAACAAATTCTTTGTTTTTTGTTTCAGAACTTATTCTAAAAAAATAATTTTATAAAATTGTTTTGAGAACAAGAAAACAAACAACAAAAACAAACAGGCTCCAAGATTCTTTGGAAGGGGTCAATGGCAAATTAAAGGCAAACAGAAGATAGGAGTCAAAAGATGAATCGCGTAGAACACTTCGATAAGAAAAGAAGGTTAGACGGGAATGATGAATCTTTCAGATAATTGAGGGAATAGTTCATTTAGAGCGTACGTCAAGGGTCAGACTGAAACATACGTGTATGTGTATGATTCACATATATTTATGGTTCTCACTTTCTATTTGCTTGCCTTCTTTAAATTAAATGGGTTGAAATTAAAGGGCTCACGTCAAGATAAGAAAAAGACCAGCCAGCCAACCCAACGATAGCTGAAATGGTCCATTACCACTGATTCATTACAACCACCAAGCTTGAAAATAACCAAGATATCAGTATCGTTGACGTGTTCACTACGCTCGGCTTAATTCCCATCTCACAATTAACACCAAATTAACACGAAACAAAGACAATCATATACCAGTCTCTTCCTTAACACACATCCAAGATACATATTTTTCACATTCATCAGCAGAGATGAACCTTTATGGACAACAACCAAATAGAAAACAAAGCAGCAGCGGCCATTAAAGTCAGAGGCAGCGACGACAAGTACAGGAAAAACAACAAACATAAGCACGCACACACAACACAAACTCTCTCTCTATTTCTGCATCATCTATCATGAAGGGGTCATCATCTCTGCTTGTTTCTGATCTGCGCTTCAACAGTTGCAGGGGTCGCAGGTGCAGTTTGATCCGCACTTGCAGCCCTCGTTCTCGGCGGCGACGCCCGTCTCAGCTCCCTCCAACTCCACCTTCTTCGGCGCCACCCCCAACACCAGACTCTCCCTGGTCGTCTTCTCGGTGTAGCTCAAGTCTGGGTACATGTTGCTGCAGCACATGATATGAAGATCAACATCTATCAGTCGATCTATCTCGCGTATAATTAAAGTGATCATCACGCGTATATATATTGGATCAAAATTATATCTTGAACCAGCTGACGCCTGCTGGTTGGTTGATTTTGGGGTTAGTTTCCAAGAGATAATCGTTCTAGCTATTTGCCCCGTGATGACACTTTTAAAAGTCAGGGATTAATTCAGAAAGCAATTAATCAAAGAAGCCAGATATGATTATATATATATATATATATATATGTACATATGAATTGTATGAAAAGAGAGAGAAGCTTAAAGAGATGAGAATGTAACCTTCCGCAGCCGCAGCTGCTTCCACACCCACAGTTAGTGCAGCTGCAAGACATGTTGATTCTCAAAAGCAAACAGAGAGAAGGAGAAGAAGAAGATCCAACCACTGATATCACACGCACAGATGATTTAAGCCGCCTGAACCACCCCCATTTATAGTCTCCTTCGTGACGGACCACGCCAATATCTACCGTCCACGTTTCATCATCCAACGACGACTTCTCTCGATTAAATCTCCTTTTGTCTTTTGGGGTCATCGTCTGCTATATTTAATAAATCTTTCTTCTCCAATGGCGTTGTTGATGCATTCGAAGAAAGCGCAATAATTAATTATTTATTCTATTTTATATCGATTTTCTCTTATTCTATCATACATATATATGTGATCAATAATATGCGTTTACTTCTCTATGTCGTTCGTCTGTCATTTCAGGTGAATTAATTTCTCACACTAAGAATAATAAAAATTCATATTTAATATTTATGTATGCCTTGTATCTTTTATCCTTTTTTTAATAGCTACGACGGAAAATAGTATTTTTATCCTTTTATTTATTATTTTTGTGGACATCAAACTGTCCAAGTTGCTTTTATGGACGGAAGAGAGTAGGGAATTTTTTAATGGGAAAATTACACTCAAGTCTCACAGAGCACAATTAACATCAAAAAGGTCCCTCAAAATCCCGAAATGATTCTGAGGTCCCCAGGGACCTATGTGTAATTAATTCTAATTGTGAAATTACATAGTTACCCCTGTTAATTTGAACCTATTTACAACCTCAACAGTGCCTGTTAACAATCCAAGAAGAGGTGGTTAACAACCTCAACAACGCCCCTGGCATTCCACAGAGTGAGTTGTCATGAGCACTGTCGAGGTTGTCAATCACGTCTTCTCGGGTTGTTAACAGCCACTGTTGAGATTGTAAACGAATTGCTGCAATAAAATTAACAACGGTAAGTAGGTAATTTCACAATTAGAATTAATTACACACAGGTCCCTGGGGACTTCAGAATCATTTCGCGATTTCAAGGGACATTTTTGATATTAATTGTACCCTGTGAGACCTGAATGTAATTTCCCTTTTTTAATTGGGATAATTAATCTGCAAGTCCTTATAGTTTCAACCAATTTTGAATCAGGTCCCTATAATTTTTTTTCTTTTTATCAGATCCTTATACTTTCACCTGTTTTAATTAGGTCCTTGCATTTATTTTTCTTTTTATCAAGTCCTTATAAGATCACCTTATTTTTAAGTAAGTCCCTGAATTTTTTATTCTTTATTTTATAAATTCTAATAGTACTATTTTATAAACATAAAATAGTATATATTATGTAATATTAGTTTATAAACAATAATATTCTAAAAATAATGAATTATTATAATAATTTTATTTTTTTAGCAAAAAAATTAATTGTTTTAAAAAAATTTCCTTAATTAATTAATTATATTACTTATCTTTTATTATAATTATTAATATTTTATATTTCAGTACTATTTATTTAATTAAGTTCATATTTAATTAATAAATAAAAATTAAAACTAGATGGACCTAATTAAAATTTTAGTGAAATTATAAGGACTTAATAAAAAGAAAAATAAATGCGAGGACCTAATTAAAAATAGATGAAAGTATAAGGACCTGATAAAAAGAAAAAAAACTATAAGGACCTAATTCAAAATTGGTTAAAACTATAAGGACTTCCAGATTAATTAACCCTTTTTAATTTCTAGCTTGTCCCGGGGTCTATAATGACATGAAGATCTCGACCATAGATGACAGTCGTAGAAAATCAAAGATAAGTCCACGGTCGAGATTTGAGATGCTGGCCGGCCACATTCCGTAGATTTTTTTTTTGGTTTTTTGCCGAAAGATATGCAGTAACGTGAGAAAGTTGAACACCTCTCTTAAAACATCTATTATCAATTAATGGCGAAGAAAAAAGAAAACAAAAAAGAAAAAGATGCCATCTCTATGTCATACATTATTTATGTAAATCGAGTGCAAGTTGACTTAAAATTAATGAAGATAATAGTACTTGATTTTTATTAAGGATATGTTTGGTACGAGGGAAATGAAGGGAAAGGGAGGGGAGGAAAAATTTTAATGAGTTTATTTTAAAAAATTGAAGAAGTGGGGTTATCAAATTTTGAAAAGGGAAAAAAATCTAAAATAATTTAAATTTTTAACTAAATTTGAAATATCAGAAAATGCCTTGCTTGGGACGTGATAATCTGAGCCCACCGTAGTCCACTGATCCACGTTTCCTTCGGGAATTGTATGTATTGGGGCTACGAAATAATCTCCCAATCTTTATCTTCAGTCTTTTTTGTTTTCTTTAGTCAACACTTAGAAAAGGAAAATGGGACCCACACAGATGCAATAAGCCAATAACATCCCCAAGGTGGGGCCCAATTGAAGTTGGACCGATTGTTGTGGACGCCGAATCTCTTTGGACGTGTGGCCCAAACTTTCTTTCGTCTGGGTTTTTGCACCAGACGATACGATTTCATTTTCGGATTTTCTTATATAAAACAAGACTTTCCTTACATAACCTTGTATTCCACAAATTAGAATTAAAAACTATTTTTAGGTCATTCCAGACAGGCCCTTAACACTTTTCAAATTATAATTATTTTGCGAACTTTTAAAAATACAAATTGAAATACTGCTTGGCAGTAGAAAAACATATTATTGTGTGAAAACCTAGCATGATATATTGTTTCTTTATGTTTAAATAATAAATGGTAAATTCCATGAAAAATTTACAAGAGCTTAGAAGATTTTATACAGGGGCTAGAAAGCATTTATGTCTGTAAATGCTTTTGATAAGAAAGGAAGGAAAAAAGGAGGTGGGTTAAGTAATCGATGCATCTAAGACTTTGTACGTATTAAGAGAGGATTCATCAGCGTCCAAAGTACATAGAAATATCCAATTAATCTCTTATGAGGTTGAGGGAAAAATACAAAATCAAGCATCTACAGAACAGAAAAGTCGATGAGGTACGCGAAGACGGAGAAATATAAGAACTCTGACATCGATCTTCAACCCATCATCATCCATTCAGCAGGCATATCCGGCACCTTGGCAAAAGTAAAAAAAACACAAACCAAAACAGACCTCCGCTCTGTCATATAAGAACTGGAGTGGTTTGAAGTATAATTTACACTACAAATTACTACCTCTGATTTTTAATATGATAATTAGTTGATTAATTTGTAGATTAAGTAAATTTGTTAAGTTTTATAATAAATACTACTTCCAGTTCTTAATATAAGACCCTGTTTGACTTTTATTTTGGTCCTAAATATAAGACCCCAATCCATTTTGTCTCTCATATTTACTCAATTTTTTCCAAGATAATCCTTCTAATAATTATAGTTCTAGTTAATACACTTGATTAGCAAGGATATTTTACGAAAGACAACACATATTTGGGACAAATAATTAACTCAACTTACTTCCTTAATCTCCTCAAATTAGTCAACTGGCTCTTATAATTAGGATTAGAGGTAGTAAGTGTTATCTTTCATAAAATATATTTATCAATCAAATATGTTATTTAGAACTACCATTTAATAAAACTTTTAACATATACAACTACTATAAGGAGTACTAAAAATGAACAAGTATGAGAAACAAAATGAATTAAGATTTTATATTTAAAATCAAATTGAATATTGAAATAGCTCTTATACTATATTCGGTTCTTAATATAAAAACTTGTTTGACTTTCAATTTGGTTCTAACTATAAGACGCTCAATCCACTTAGTCTATCATATTTGTTTATTTTTCTCAATGTAGTAATTGTAATAGTTGCACATTTTAAATGTATCATCAAATGATACTTGATTAGGAAGGGTACTTTAAAGAAGACATCACCTATTTATTACAAACAACTAACTTAACTAATTTTTTTAATCCACTCAAATTAGTCAGCTAACTCTTCTATTAAAACCGGAGGTAATATTAAGAGCTGGAGCTAGTAGCTAGCTTTTATATTTAGTATCTAAGGTAATATTACCTCCTGTATTTAATATAAGAGTTAGTTAACTAATTTAAATAGATTAAAAAAACTAGTTAAGTTATTTATTTGTAATAAATAAGTGTTGTCTTTCCTAAAATATATTTGATAATAAAGTGTATTGGCTAGAATTACCATTATTATAAAAACTACCTTAAAAAAATAGATAAATACGAGAGAAAAAGTGAATTAGGATCTTATATTTAAAATAAAAATAAAAATTAAATAAATTCTCATATTAAGAATAAAAAGTAGTGCAAGTTATTGGACCAAATCGTAACAACAAAAACCTAAAATGCAAGTGATATTATGTGCGTTATATGTGGCTTTTGAGGCCCAGGCCCAAAACTAGAAGAAGAATATGGCATGGACCTAATCTCCGATTATTTCCCTCCGATTCCTTTTGTTTTTTCGGTTTAACAAATTCAATTTACCATGGCTCGTGGACTTGGCAGCAAAACCCACCCTCTCGCTTATAAGAACCGGGGTCTGATTTCGCCTTGCAGCGTTTGAAAAGGCATCCTAAATCTAGGGTATCTAAGTAAATGCCTAAGAAGGACATAATGCAGGTTGATATTGCTCAATATTAATTCTAAATACCAGTTATAAGATATTATTTATAATTTATAAATAAGGTGATATAACTAAAACCCGGAATAGTATTACCTAGTAGGATTGGATCAAGTGCCTGCCTTTTGATTTGGACTGAGCTCGAATCTTTGCATAAAATTTCCGTTAAAAAAAAAATCAAAATCTGATTTATTTGATTACAATATTTATTTAATCATGAAACAAAATAGGTAGGATATCTTATATATAACCTGTGCATGAAATGGACAAGGATATCCAAATCTACGTGTCGTGTAAACGGTTTACCATATTATATCTCGTACAACTATAAATCTATGGGCGCAAGCGCAAGTTGCAACAAATAATATTTTCTGGGGAGAATAAGGTAAACCAGACACGATTTTTTTTTTTTGGGGGGTCGGGGATTTGCGATCAGCGGTTCGCTAGACTTAAGCACGATCCAGTCATGGGGGAGGAAAATAATAGTTGTTAAAACGTTTTCAATATATATGTATATATTGTTCTATTATCAATTATATAGCACGAAAAAGAAATTAAGGTAAATGTTTGAGCTATCAAAATCAATTTGCATTATTTCGTAAGTTGCAATCGTCCTACCGTATTAGCTGTATGGAAGAAAGTTTCAATATCATCATACTCT